GCTTTTTTTTTTTTTTTTTTCACAGGGATCTGCTGGAAAAGATGACGGTTTGATGGGTTTTGGGTTTGTGGTCGCAGGAAATTAATTTGGTTAACAATGGTTCGAAGATTTGGCGAGTTTTCGTGAATTAAAGTAATATAATCGGTGAGTGATTCGCGTAACAATTTGGGTTTGATTTAAAAGATCTTTCAACACCACCCACCCAAACCCTCCATCACCACCACCATCACCCACCCAAAACCTCCATCACCACAACCCCACCCAACACCTCTAACACCACCGCTCCCACCCAAAACAAAACCAAGCCACATGACCCAACTGAAACCTAGCCCATGAACCACGTCGTTATGAACCTACCGTCGCCATGAACCACGTCGTCATCATGATTAAGCCGTGATTAAACCTGAACCTCGTCGCTGCCGTGATTAAACTTCGCTTCCATGAGAAACTAGGGTTTTTGAGAGGTCGAGAGGTTAGTGGGTTTGAGCTTATCGATGGAGAAAGAGGTGAAGATTCCGACGACCCAGTTTCATGAGCATGAATGACCTAACGGTAGTGACCAAACCGGACAGTGAAGAAATACCCAGTTGCAGCTCCATCAACGTGAAAACCAGCGGAGATGGTGAAGCGGACCGAGTCGCGTGATGACCGACGACTGATTTGCCAACGGTGAGGATCTAAATTTCGAGGTCGACGGTGATGTACGATAGTGAGCCAGCGATTCAAGTGGGGGCGGCGCTACACGGTGACGATCAAGATTTGGTCAGTGACAATTTGGGCCTGTACAAACAGTGTTTATATATATATATATTCACACACACACACACACACACTATATAGGAGCCTTTTTGTCATTTAGGATTATATATATTTGGTATTAAAAAATTGAGGGTAAAAGTGTCAATTCGCATGTGTTAGAGGCCAAAAAGTAAATTGGGGTGTAAGTGAAAGTTAAAACCAAAATCTTCATCTAGCTAAAATATGACCTAACCTCAGGGGGTGTCTGTGTAATTTACCCTTTTAAAAATGATACTGACCTCTTTTGTCACTCATTAGTGTAGTTTTTGATATGCTAAAATGACTATTATATGCAGATGCCTTGATAGTCAGTGGTTAATGTTTCGGGTGAATTTTAGGAGTGTCAGGCTTCGACTCTTTGCATCTATTAATCAACTTCTAACCCTTTTTGCCTTGTTAAAAAAAAAAAAAAAAAAAAAAATGGCTATTATACTTGTACGTTTTTATTAGTTCAAAGCAAGAACAAAATAGTATTTTAAAGTCTGAGGAGTGCTAATAAATATGTTACCACTCCTTGCACAGCTGCACTCTTAATTGGTTAAGATTCCTATATATTACATGCTAGTTAATTAAATGTCTTCTACCATTATGGGACATTTTAAATATAAATTCATAGGACAAAGGTGCCCTTTTAATTATTTCTTCTCTTCTAAGTTGATTAGTAAATTATACATTCTCATAATGGATTATGATTATTTTCTTTCTATGTTTTTTTATTATTATTTTTTATTTTTATGGATTCTTTTCTTTCTTTTTTTAATTGTCTTTTAGCTATATACTGTATATAATTACTATATGTGTGTGTGATGGTTCGTGTCGCTGCACCACAAGCTTAAGAGTGTGCATTAAGGCGAGGGCCAAGTTTTACATTTATAAAAGCCACTACTACCTTCACTAAAAATATAGTTAGGGTGAGTAAGGATCGTCCCAAGGGATTGGAGTCGTACTTGGTTGTGGAATCGCTATTAGGGTTAGTAGGTCGAGTGATCAAACAAATGGTTGGTTGGTTGATTAAACTAAAGAGCAAATTAAACTAAATAATTGAATGCAAATAAGGGTAAGTAAGAGAGAGAGAGAGATCTTGGGGTTTAGAGGTAACCACCAAGCAATGTTTTTCTACACCCTTAACAAGTGACTAATAAAGGTAATGTGTGTTGCAATACTGATGTATGTGTGTATTTGGTTGATTCAATTAGCAAAGGTGACCAATTAAGCATACGTTGTCCAATTAATATGTGAAAAGCACAATATATCTAGCAATTAAGTATATATTGTCTAAATAGTATGTGAAAAGTACAACATATCTAGTAAGTCATTAATCATTTCATTAAACTCACAAGCCAAATACACCACAAGGTTAGAGACATATGCTACTTGCATTCAAAAGTATGGAACATCAAACAATAAGCATGGATTGTCCTCCGATCTAACAACTATGCTACCACTACACTACAATTAAGTTAATGTCATGAAATTAAACTAATTAAGCTAAGGGAGAGGCATAATCCATCAAGAAATGAGCATGGACCATCTAGAAAATGACAAGAACATTCTTTTAAGCACTATATTTTGATAATCTCTAGATTTATAGCATTAATACACATAGGCATGCATCAATAAAACAAGAAATAGAGACAAACATATGAACATCTATTCTAGCATAGATAGACATATGGATAGAATGAAATAATCAATTGAAAGTATTAAACCACATAAATCATTGAATAAACAAGATCTATATATATAAAAGTGCAAAAACATGTATTATAACACTAATCTCTCAATAATACACAAAATCAAGATGTAGAAAGCATGCTTGGGGCTAACTTTAACCCCAAGAGGATGTCTAGCCACTCATGGTAATGCTTCTCCAACCCTCAAGGGCTAACTCTATGGTAGAGATTTGCTCCTTGGATGATGAAGAGTCTCCAATGGTGTCTCTAGCCTCCTCCTCCTCTAAGCTTATTCTCCAAGAGATGATATGATATGGTATGATGTGATATTATCCCTCATTTGTAAAAAACAATCCTTATCCTTATATAGGTAGGTCAAATGACACCCAAAATGAGCTGGGGTCGTGTACACAATATTCCCTAATGATTGGATAAAGGACAACTTTCAATGAGCTGGAAATTTAACTTTTTCGCACTGGAGAAAGTTCGATCGATCGAACCTTGGACTTGGATCGATCGAACATGGCTGAGATCCATCGAATTTAGGCTGGATCGATCTTCAGTGGTAGCATTTTTTGGATAAAGACAAATTTGAGATATTTTGAAGATATTTTTGGGAAAAAGGACAAAAGTGGTTGGTAGGGTGGTACAACTAGATAAGATCAATTATTTGGATAAGGACAAAACAGTTCTATTGATCAAAGAATGATGTTGGATCGATCGAACTTTTGAAATCTCTGAAAATGTCATTATGGCTTTGATCCATCTTGAAGTGCTAAGATCGATCATGTCGGATCGATCGAACTTTGATCTGAGATCGATCGAAGACGTTGATTTCCACCTTTTTCTTCCTTTTGCTTCCACTTGGCTCCTTTATTTGATTTATCCCAGAATTGCTTCATTTCTGCTCTTATTTGGCTGAGTTAGCCTATTTTTGGGATAAGTGCCTGAAAATGAAAAATAATACGAAATCAATTTAAAACGGTAAAGTAAGATAGATAAAGGTACTAGAATGCTTAAACTTAAGGGGTTTAAATACGCACTTTTCAGCGCTCATCAGTATGTATAGATATATATAATATATCATCTAATCTTTGTTAATCAATATCTCTATTATGAATTCATATACATAATATAGTGTGTGTGTGTGTGTATATATATATATATATATATATAAACACCTAAATTATTTTCTTTTTTTTCCCTTTTTTTTTTTCCTCCCCTCACACTATACACTATGTGTATATATAAATTGAGTATCTATATATATAAACAAAAGGAAATAATAGTAATAATAATAATAATAATAATAATAATTTAGGTGTTTATATATATATATATATATTTGCCATCCATGTGAGGAGAGAAAATAAATAATTAAAAGGTCACTTTTGTCCTATAAATTTATACTTTAAATGTCTCATGAGACATTTAATTAACTAGCGTGTAATTTTAAAAATCTTAACCAATTAGAAGTGCAACTGCAATTAGCACTCATATTTCAAGCTTACTAGGAATATTCTCGGGTTTTATGTAAATTTTGAGCATAGCATTAGCATACAAGAGTCAAACTTGACCTTACTATTTAATACTCCATCTTTTCCAAATTTAATACTCCATTCTAACTTTTTAAGAGGATAGATTTTATTTTATTTTTTTATTTTTGTGATGGTAGTGAATGAATTACTAAATATGCCCATAGTGAATTCACATGATGTGAGGGCTTACTACTTTTTATAAGTTCAATGCAAGAAGTTTAAATCAACCAAAAATGAAAAAATGGACATTTAATTTGGGACGGGGGAGTATTAAATTAAATGTTGTAATTATTATTTTAAAACTAAAAAATTCCCCATAATAATAATATTATTTAATATTAGATGAGTTATTATTTTACTAGCTAATGATAACTCATTTCTCATCCCAGTATTATTTTTATAATTTTAAAATAATAATTATAACTTTTAATTTAATATTAAATAGTAATGTCAAATTTAATATTTCACAATCCATTTATCTGGTCGATCACAAGTTTAGGAGCAATTTGATAAATTTTGTTAGTTCGGAAATATTTCTACTTCTACTGAGAAGTTTATATACAATTTTAAAAGTAGATGAAAGTTTTTATGATTTTAACCCTAAAAAGAAAAAACTTGTGGGAAAGAAATGTTTTAACAAAAAGATTACTTAGAAAAGTGGGATCGGTGAGTGATGATGTCCTGGGTCTCCTGGCTTGCTAAAAGTATAAGACATCTACCACCCCCACGTGAAAAGTTCGTCCTATTGAGATGGGCCCATTAACTTTTTACTTGACACAACTTTGAGGCCCATTAGCATAGTGGACCCCAGCTTTGCACATTGTACATACAAACAAATAACAAATGGAAGCCACGTCGCGGTGAAGACCCGAAACTAGGACACATGGACCCACATTAGCTGCCCAGCTTATTACAGCCTTACCTTTCTTCTTCCACCATTCCTTCCTCCACCATTCCTTCCCCACCCCCACCCCCCCCCCCCCCCCCCCCCCCCCCAGCTAAAGTCTCTCTCTTTCTACGCGAGGTCAGACTTGAGAGAGCAGAAACTCCAGTGCAAACTTCAAAAGAAGCTGTGCATGTCATCAAAGCCTGTTACAAGTAAGTGACATTTCATTATATAAATATATGTACGTATTATATATGCACATATTTGTTCAATCACACTGGTTTTGATTGATTTAGTTATTTTTCTTTTCAGAATGAGATGAATTTTTTAATTTTATTTATTTATTTATTTTTCTGTTTGTTGATATACATTTTAGTGTTCGTTGTTTTCTGATGATCAATTTTTATATTTTTTTAATTATTATTTTTTTAATCTTGTAGCATTTTTTATTAATTAAGAGAACTATGGACTTGGGATTTTGAGCATGCATGACCTGAATTTTGTATGTACATATATATTGATTGATTGAGAGGACTTATTTTATCCCCACCAATCCATACTTAATAATATCCATGAATGCAATTTGGAAAATATTGAATGACAAAAGATTCTCCGTCAGGCAATAGAAGGAAGCCTCTGCAATTATGCCTTGTAGGATATGACACATAGTAAGCATACTTCATATATCTTTCACTATTTCACTAGTTTATTACTAATAATCATATATATATATTATAGTTTGTGATGACATACATTGCTGAGAAGCCCTGTCAAATAGATTCTTACTAATGTATAGGTATTCAAGTCTATGTCCAATTCTGATAGTGAAAACAAAACAAAATTAACAAAACATGATGGATCTACCTCATTTAGTTTTTATTGAGAATGCTGGAAAAAAAAAATAGTCCGACAAATTTGTCTTTTTTCCATTACTAGAAGTAACAGTGAGGGTGTTCTCATTGAGCTTGCACCCTCTTCGTGATTTGATTTAGTGGTTGATATAGTCAATGGCATGATCAATATAAATGTGCAAGATCAATATAAAGGTGCAAGTTTATCCATACAATGTTTGGCGGCATCGAATCGAAGTTTTGGATTTAAAAAGAATTTAGTATAAATTTTAAAATAAACTTCTTTCGATCTTAATTTAAAACACTGATTCAATGCTTTCAGACATGACAATCCTGGTGGAACCACTTTCCTTATTAGAATTCGCAAGTATTATGAATTAAAACCAAACGTTTTAGTGAGGTTGCTTTTATTACTTTCATAGAATCATATTTTCTTTTAAGCAACTCCACAACTCCAAAAGAATCCAATACAGGACATTGTTGCTTGCATTGGAGAGGATTTTAATTAATCAAAAAAAGGTAATAGAGACATTAGACATGTCAACATCTCACAATGCTTTGCCTTTCTTCACGGAAAGGGCAACCCAAAAATGACTCTTCTATAAGCCTCACTATCCTCCCTAGAAAAAACCTTTAAACCCTTCTTCTTCTTACTTAGTATATTGGAAAAAAAATATAAATATTATTATGGGCATTGCCCAGTAACAAACTCCTCTGGTTGTGGTTGGGTCACTTGTCACAACTATTGCTATCCGGATCCTTCGAATTGGATCTGACTTTAATACGTGTTTCACTGACTCAAAAACCTAAATTATTAAGTGAGCCTAATACCCATCCCATATATACTCAATTACTTTCTCATTCGGATCCGATGTGGAACAAACTCTCCCTTGTTATACCTAGTTAGTAAAACGCCTAACTTCCTAAACAAGTATTCTCGTGTTTGAATTCCTTTCTTCTAGTTTGACAGGATGAATAATATATATATATATATATATAATAAATTCCAAGTAGAAGATACAGTACTAGTGAGATTCTCCTGCTTATCAAAAAGGAAAACATTTTGGTACAAATTTACATTTTTTTTTAAAGACAAAGCAATCACTTTTTGCTTGCTATTTTTATATGTTTCTCATTTAAAACAACTATATATGTACCTCACTAAATTTTCCTAATAAATATAATTGAAATTTCTGTGTCCAATAAATCCTAAGTTGGAACATTAACATCATATAACGAAATCACCATCAATAAATAGTGCAAGTTGTGCCGCCCAAGATTATAGAATGGAGATGTGTTGCATCACCCACATGAAGTAAGTAGGTAGCTAACCCCACCCCCTTTTGTTGCATAATAGCCACAAAATACAGCTAAGTTTTCCCTCCTAACTTCTTTATTTATAATTTATCCATATCATCAATAACCAAATCATTTTTTTTACACTACCATGTTTTTCTTACTATAGTTTTAAATTGTTTAGATATTCTTTCGCTTCTTGGACGGTCTAATTTTAATATTTATGCTTCTTCAAGTACTGTAACTTATAATAAATATTCTCTACGTTTCATAAAAAGTATCATGTTTGGAAAACCGTGACTCATGTTCCCCATTCCATAAAAAGTATCATGTGAATCACGATTCTTCAAATATGAAATTTTTTATAGAATGGAGGGAGTTTGTGAGTCACGGTTCCCCAAATATGACACTTTTTATGGGACCGAAGGAATATGTCTTTTAAAATTAAAATTAAAATTAAAATTTGAAAGTTACAAAATTTCTTATATTATTATTATTATTTTTTACTGTGTTGATCGGTACAAAAAAAGAAGTTTGCATTATTTATATATAAAAAGAGAGGTAGGTGTAATTTGATAAAAAAATATATATATTAATAAAATTTTAAGAAATATGAATGTAATTTATTTCCGAGTATTTAATATTAAATTCAGCATACACTAGTGGGGCCTATGTGGCCCTACAAACTCGTGTGGGTGGCTAGGTCGGTTTGAAAAATCATTTCGGGTGAATTTTTTTCTCAAATGGGATTTGTCTGCCACAACTCATAACACATCACATTCAAATATGTCAAACACTTCTTACAAACAGATATTCTTTACAGTTTCGAATCTAACCTACAATTGCTTTCTCCAATTGTGCTCAATATTCTGCTACGCTTGTCTCATTTTCTGGCTAAGAATCCAATAATACACAGACTCTCTCTCCCCCACCCAAAATCTGACCCACTTTCCATTTCCTGACAGCAATGACAACGCACCACCAAAACGAGCTCGACTCCGCCACAAACGACTCCGTCAAGTCATCATCATCACTCCAGTCCGACTACCCACCAGATCACGACTATCAGCCACGTGTACGGTTCATGTGCAGTTTCGGCGGCAAGATCTTACCCCGGCCACACGACAACCAGCTCCGCTACGTGGGCGGCGACACCCGCATCGTGGCCGTGCACCGCCACACCACCTTCTCGTCCCTCCTCAACAAGCTCTCCAAGCTCTCCGGCACCACCGCCAATCTCACCGTCAAGTACCAACTCCCCAACGAAGACCTCGACTCTCTCATCTCCGTCACCACCGACGAGGACGTCGACAACATGATGGAAGAGTACGAGCGCGTATCGCAGAATAATATCCATTCGAAAACGGCTCGGCTTCGGCTATTCCTCTTCTCGGCCGATACCGACTCCAGGCACAGCAGTATCAGTTCGCTTCTCGGTGGCTCCGCCAAGCGCGAGCACTGGTTTCTAGACGCGCTCAATGGCGGCGCGGGTCCGAGTTTGGAGCGGGGCAGGTCCGAAGTTTCCTCCATTATATCCGAAGTGCCGGACTATCTTTTTGGGTTGGACAATTCGGATGAACCACCTCGAGAGCCCAAGCTTAAGAACCGATTTGGTTTGTCCGACAATGCTTCGCTTTCAGATCCGGGTTCACCCGCTCCACCTGTTTCTTCCCAATTTTACTCCACTTCCTCCTCTTTGGCGGCTCCATCAATTCCGAATCTCCCGCCAGTTAAGACCAAACCCGATAACCCAGTTCCCGTTGTTGAATCGAGGGAGATCCAAAATGAGGGTTTTGCCCCGACAGGTGAGCCCCAGATAACCGGTTATGCCGGGAAACCCATGTGGCATTATCCTCCGGAGACTCATTACCCGAGTAGTGCAGTACAATCTATTCCATTTTACTATGTTCCGGGTCCGGTTTCACAAGGAAATGTTCCACTCCAGCAGGTTCAAATTCGGGCACCATATGTTCAACAGTTCAGTGTACCTCCGGGTCAGATACCAGTCAGGTTCCACCAGCAAGTTCCGGGTATGGGTCAGGTATATGGTGGAGGAGTGAGGCCGGTTGCTGCAATGGACGCATATGACATGTCGGGTAGAGTAGTTTCCGATGGGATGAACCCACCATATGACATGTCAGGTAGAGCAGTTTCCGATGGGATGAACCCACCTATGTATTATGGCGGGATGGCTCCGCAATATCCAGGTATGGTGTTGCCTGTTGGGGAAGAATTGCAGGGTACCGGAACCGAGGCAAAGATGGATCGGGTATTCCAGTCATCTTGAGTGTTGAAGATTTGTTTGAATAATTCATCCATGCGTTTGCTATGGTGACTCTCTTCTTTGTCTTGTTTGGTTATGAGGTTTGGGGTAATGTTTTTGTGTGTGTAAATTTGGTCTGTGAATAAGTTTTGTTTTGCCTTCATTTATGGGTTTACTCAGTGTGATAAATGTAGAGGAAAAAGTACGTGGCAATATAGGTTTCATAGTAACTTCTTAATTTGTTATGAATATTTTGTATGGAAAATGCCAGACATTGCTGCAGTTTTATTATCGTCTGATTTCTCAACAATTGAGAAAAACTTTACTATGTCCTTATCTTAAGTCACATAAAATGAAAGTGAATTTGAAAGCGAAAACATAAAAATAACAAAATTAAGTCACAAATAATAAGAACAAGAGTGACAGCATGCGCGGAGCCTGAAAGCTGCACCAGTTGAGAAAAATTGTGTAACTTAGTTCTTATCTATTAACAAATAGTTTTAAATATTAGGGTTAATTTCAACTTCATCCCCCGACCTTTGTCAATATTTCACGAACACCTCTTCTAGATTTTAATATTTCACGAACACCCCTTAACCTTTGAACATACGTAGCAAGTTACTCCTCTCGTTAAGCAACTTACGGTGTGTGCTGATGTCAGCATGAGAAATTTATTAGAATGTCAATTTTACCCTTCTAATATCTAAAATGACATCTTTAACCTGACCAATACAAAATTACAAAATTACCCTTAATTTGTTAACTCCCTTAATTTCACTTAAAACAGACACACACATATATATATTCATATATCGTCTTCCTCCCACATGATTCTCTCTCCTCTCTTGTCTCCCTTTGTCCTTCATCACCACACCTAACCACCCATCGTGGCACTTCACCGCCTACTACTACACCGACCACTTAACCGAAATCGTTGCACACCTCGTCACAGCACCACCAACATCCTGCATCATCATTGCCGCATGGGAAGTAGCTTTAAAATTTCCCCCCTTCTCTGTTTAAAAAACTTCACCGACATACCACCAATTTCAGGATTTTAAGATTTCTTCAAAAAATTCATGGTCGAATTGAGAAAGCTTTGGTGCCTCGCCGGTCCGGCCATCTCTCAAATCTTCGCCGGCCTTTGGAACCCTCGACCTTGACGCTCTCTCCTTTGAGAACTCCTTGATCACTAGATTCTAGTGTTTTGGTGTTATGGTTTGTGTATAAATTTTATTTTATTTTATTATTATTTTTTTTTTCTCTGCAAAATTCATAGGATTCATGGTCGAATGTTTTTTTTTTTTGGCTGTGCAAATTTGCATTGTTTAATGTTAATATGGTGTGCAAGTTTACATTTTCTCTCTCATTAGTGTAATCCTTCTATTTTTGCTGCCCCATAAATTTTAGAGAGAGAAACACAAATCGCCACCACCGATCACTACTCACCATGGTGACAGACTCTATTACGAGAGGGGGTTAGGTTAGACTTTAGAGAGAGAAAGAGGGGAGAGAGAGTAATGTAGAAGCTCTAAAATTCTATAAATATTAATATATAATTGATGGGTAAAGTTGTAAAATCATACAGTTCTGTTAGTAAAATAAACGGATGTCACAAAGAGGGGAGGTAGGTGAAATTTTGAAACGTAAAAGGGGTGTGAGTGGAATATTGACAAAAGTGAGGGAGTGTAGGTGGAATTAACCCTAAATATTATTATTGGAGTTGTTTGAAAAACCATCTGTCCTTATAGTATTTATTCATTTGATATTTACATGGTTGATGCAGTATATTAAAAATAATAATAATAAAAGTTTCATCAAAATAATTACCATAACAGAAAATCAACATTTTGTAACGATAATCTGATAGCCAGGAGAAAAGCCAAGCCTAGTTCCATTGTGCACCTTTTAGCATCTAGTTCACAAGTGCTTGTTTGGTTGAATGACATTTTCGATTTGTAAGTTAGCATCTCTAACTCACCTTTTAGCATCTGGTTAACAAGTGCTTGTTTGGTTGAATGACATTTTCGATTTGTAAGTTAGTATCTCTAACTCAAGGTGCATTGTAGCCATAGATATGAACAAAAAAAAAAAAAAAAAACCCAACAAAACTACAGGTCATAGAAACACACAAAATCTGATAGGATAGTTGTCACGAATACTTGTTATTTGATTTAAAAACTTAAACTGTTAAATGGTGCTACATGGTTTTTTTTATATGCCCGGAACCTTTTTCAATCTCATCCGATGTGGAGCAATATATAGAGAAGGCCCATCAACAAAGAGGATTCCATTTGTTGCACTGCATTTCTGTGGGCCGTATTCCCAAGGCCTACAGTGTTGTGGCCCATTGTTCTCTCCCCCTGGCACATATATAAAGAGGGTCTCTAGAAAGTAGCAGAAGCATTTGAGATTATGTTCGACTTTGGGCTTTACCCATTCGGGTCCAAACTACTTTATCTAAAACTTATCTCTTCTAAAATTGCATCCTTTTACAAATATTTGGTCTGTCTTTACACCTTCAAAATGGTAAAAGACTAAAAAGTAGGATCTTATTTCAATTATATAAGGAGAAAAGTTTCCTTCTTTTGCCACACACTCTGCAAAATCTATAAGAGCCTGCAAGTCATTAGCAAACTTTTTATTTTTATTTTTTTATTCATTGTTTTTCTTGCAAATATAACTCTCACAATGCTATTGGGCATATTTGAACTTTCTAACTTTTGATTTGAAATTTGAGAATATAGTATTAAGACTTTGGTATATAAGTCACATACCTTCCTACTCACAATTCTTTTTGAGTACATTATAGGAAAGAAAAATGATAAATGGAATATGACATCATTATGAATATGATGATATCATCTCTCATTCATGTAAATATAATCGAATGTGTCTGACTTTCAAATTCTATATCACAACTCTATGCGGAATGGAAAGCTGGTTGCAAAGCATTTAGACAACTGCAATTAACATGAGAAGGTCCAAAAGAGATTAGTGCATGACAAATACATAGAAATGAAGAAAAGCAATGAAAGGGGATTATGCACGATAGATTTTATTTATTTTTATATATGGTTGGAACACAAGTCTCAAATTTATGAAGATGATATATCTATATCATAGTGACTAGTTGCATAGCCAATTAACAATAACTCATAACCAGCTAGCTACCCACTCTGCCATGTCTTCCCAAAAAGCTTTAATAATAGAATGTAGTTTTCTGAATTTGTCTCAAGTAGAGAAAGCCCCACTTGAGTAACTCACACTGTCACACAAGGAAGATGATGATGCTGCTATCTGCATGGGGTGAAAGCGTGAAACATGCACTCATTTAATCCTATCAATCCCACCCCCGCCCCCCCCCCCCCCCCCCCCCCCCTCTTCTCCTCTCTCTCTCCCTCTCCCTCTACCTCCAAGGATAAAGACTTCTCTGCTCCAATGATCAGTGGCTGGAATTTCTTTCTGTGGGCAATCTTTAGTAATAATAATAATATATATATATATAAAATTTGAACCAAAATAATATGTGTAAATAAAAAATGTAAGTGATAGGGATTTGACTAACCTTATATGTTATAACCAAATAATCTAATCAATCAGAAAATTTTGATAGAATAAGTGAATATATGATTTCATTGATTTCAGTTGTAAATAAATAATAAAAAAATCTAAGTCTTATTTAGAGAATAATAATTAGTAACACAATTACACAAACTAAATTTTGAAAGAACAACAAGTCCTAAAATAATTTTGATTGTAATAACTTATAATTTTTCTAATTAAAATTATAATATCAAATAATAATCATAAATTTGAAAATGTGATGGAAACAATCCATTTGTTTGTGATAAAGTTAAAAGTATGAAAGAATATCTTGATGAAATTTTATTTTATTTTATCATTATTATTATTATTATTTTTTGTGTAAAACAGTGAATGGGCTTTTGGTTACACACACACACACACACATTTATATAAAATATATATGTGCACTGTCAAATTTTAGAGGGGGTAATTATACAAATATAAAATTCTTTTCATATAAAATAAAATTAAAAATTAAAAATTCAGTGGGGCAGTTGCCCCCACTTATCCCTCTGTGGCTACACCACGGGATACCATATCATTGATGTTATTAACCAATCCTGTCACATAAGAAAACTCGGTGATACTATATTATCAATGTTATTAACCAATTATATCATATCACGTAAGAAAAAATGCATTTATTTAGTAATTCTTATTACTATGTGTCAACATTCAATTAATTTGTGATATCATTTCATCAAAATAATAGGACCATTTCAAGAGTTAGTTTGTGATATCATCTCATCAGGATCATTCAAGAGTGCCCAAATACTACTTTTCTGATTGAAAGAACATTACAACATTTACCAACAGAACAACATGTTACATACCCTTCCAAAAATTGAGGTAATTATTCTAAAAAAAATTAAAAACAATAATTAATTTAGATATGAACATATATATATATATATATATATATATATATATATGTATATGTATGATGGAATGTGACGAGAGAAGCTACCAAAAAAGAAAAAAGAAAGAGATGAGAGAGAAATAAAAAAGGAAAAAGTTAAAGTTAATTGGTTTGCCAATGAGTGGGAATGGATTTTGTACTAGCGTTAGGCTTTCTCTCGCATCAATAAAAAGCAGAGCATCCATTGGGGCATCAAAGATGAAGACATTCACTATTTTAAAAAGAGGGAGAACAAACAAAAGAGGTGGTGTTACAAAAGGTACATTCTCTGGGGGCAATATGAGGTGCTTTGAGACTAAAGCCGTTTTGGCTTTCTTCCACTTTCTCCCCCCATGTCTGCCTCATTCTAATTACTTTATATCATCTATTTTATATATATATCTACATGTACAAGTAATTACCCTCTTACATCTAATTACCAAATATAAATTTGTTATGATGAATAATTTATATTATTGCATATGTGATTATTTATAGTGTAAAAGGGGACTTGAATTTTCACCTCTTATTTTAAAAAGAGAGAATATATCACTAAATTACATGTATGAGTGATAATTCGAATAGCTTTAATTGCATTCTGTATCAAGACAGTTAAATTATACATCAATGCCCATATAATATTATAATTTTATATAAATGGTTCTTCACAAGAAGACTTCCAACGAATCATATTCTTTCTTTTTCTTTTTTCCGATAAATACAATGAATGATATTCTTCATTTCTTTCTTTCTTTCTTTCTTTTTCTTTTTCTCTTTCACCAAAGTGGTTAGATGGTTCAGCCAT